GAAAATGGATACCAAGAGATAAGAATTAGCGGAACACATAGTATAGATTGGAAACGAGATCAATTGAAAAGGTTGATTTACAGATTAGCCGTAAACCGATTCAGATAGCCGGTTTAATAAAACAAATCTGAAATATTCACACAGATGATAGTCATCCATTCATAAGGTGACTTGATCTGAAGCCAGTGGGGTTTTTTTAAGCATTAAATGCTCAGGGCAACGAATACAAGGTAAAAAATCTCATAATATTTTGAAAATAAAATGAGTGAAGAACAAAAAAGTTAGTGATCATATTTGGACAATTATAATTTTATTCACATTATGGAGTTAAACATACAAGAAATAAAAAAATTATAAAAATCAATCCCTCAGGTCTCTCTCAAAACTAATTTTCAAGAAGGAATTCAGAGGTAAAATTAGGCTAAAAAAATTATGGGGTAATCAAGTGAAAAATACATAAATGTTTTATAACTGGTGACAGCAAATTAAGCGCCAAGAATGAAAAAAAATGACAAATTTAGTTAATAGATTGTAGTATACGGCATCAATTTTTCTTGTTATAAGAATAAATAAAGAATTTTTCGAATATATCTCAACCAGATTCATATGCATTAGGTGGGCGAATCTCAGTTTAAAAAAAACATAATTTTGTTACTAGTAAACCTACGATTTTAACATCTGAAATGTATGAAGTGTACACATTCACTATATAAACAAAAAACTTAATATAGAAGCAAAATACAGAAGTATGGTTAATAAGGCTGTTCTTAAAGTATAGCTTTGGCAACACGGTAGCTCGAATAATAAAAAATGCGCTATCCTCGTGTATAAGCCAACCATTTTTCGAATGCTTACAATCACGTGTCTGAGTAAAGCGTATCTGACTAAATCTAAGTTCATTATAGTCAACTTACCTCTTTCCTAAAAGTGGAGAGCATATGGCGTGTACCACACACTTGGGTAGGCGGCCAAGGTTGTGAATATGCAGTTGAGTGAGGCATATCACCATGAACAGGAGACAAGCTAACCGCGCCCTGGCGGCCAGCAGCGAAACTGCCACCGCGAATGCCATCTGCGGTAACCTGATCAGGACTTGGAAAGCGATGCTTTGAAAGTTGCTTGTTTGAAGGCAATCGAGAAGTCGCTAAAGGTTGGGTATAGAAGATAAAATAATATAACGATATACAAGGATAAAGTATAGCTAGTGAATAAATTAATTTGTTTGTGTATTTATTTACTTGTTTAATAAGTAATATTATAATAGAAATTACAAATCTATCAACGAGTAGAATATTATAAAATGAAACCAAATTAAACTAGGGCCAATATTGATATATTAAAGTGTTGCTTCGACCTTGTCTTCGCAACTTGGTTAGTGTCAGGGAGACCTTGTGGGAGGAACCCAGTCCTGTGTCCTCTACCATAGTATTTGTGATTTCCAGCATGGACCATTGACTTGGTAGAATAAGAAACGTTTCGCCGGCATCGTCAGTGAGAGGTGCCATCGTAAACACAGGGTTACAATTTATCAGTGACATGTGAAGACAATACCCTTCACTAATTTTCAGTTCGACCGTTGTGGCATCACTGCTCGCCCATATTTTTTCTTCTATCTTCAAGTGCCGCATCACTTTCTCTGAACCCAACTTCATGTGGCCCATCCATTTATTCACACAATTCTGTGCTCCCATTTTCTACAATGTCGCCTAAGTGTCTCAACAAGTGGGTTTAGTGAGGCATAAGCATCTCCGCCACCAGTACCGGATTTGAAGGCTCCTGACTTTTATTCTGCCCACTCCGCCTTTTTTTCAACCCGCTTGCCAATTGGCCACTGCCAAACATCAAAATCATTATTTAGCTGTCCGAAATCTGGCAATCTAAGAGCCTTCAATTCCAGTCCTCGATGACGCCATATTCGAGGATTTAGAACAGATTATGCTCATGCCTATGCGAGTGACTAAGAATCAAACCCACGGCACGGTTAACCTCTTCCTCATCCCGACCCACAGGGAAAAGCACACTCATTTCGTCTTCAAGTTGGCGCTCCCATCTAATCCTATGGTCTTTGATGTCCATATGGGTGTTGGTTGGTGTCCCACGTGGTCAATCGTCTCACCAGTCATCTCCCCATCAGGCAGACACACATGGACCCACGTACAAATACTAGTAACCTATATTTGGTTTTCCGTTTAATTTCATACCCCATTTCTTATAGGCAGACACCCGGGTAAATTTTTGGCCCGGTTTGCATCATCTCACTGCAATCGCCTTTTCTTGACTTCTCGTTGTCCTTCATGATCCGCTAATTGACGTCTCTTCTTTTGTTAAATAGCTGTCCTAAGTCCAAGCGTCTCCTTTCTGATGGCAAATCTCCAAGTTTGCCCAGATAATACGCGAAATTATCGCTGACTCTTCCCACTTCTAATCTTCTGTTCATCACGTTTTTTTAAGAGGATGTCTACTACCTCCCTGATCTTCCGTTTCCTTATGCCTGCCCCATATGAGACCAGATTTTCCGTTGCATTCCAGTCAATTGTGTGGCCCGTAAGGGCAACGTGTTCAGCTATCACAGATCTATCCGTATCCATTTTTCTGCATAGTGGCTGATGTTCTTTGATCCTTGAGCTGATTGTCCTTCCGTATCTCC